AAATGAAAGACATTTAGGTGTTCATTCTACACGTTGATTAGTTTTTTACTTTTCAAAATATTCTTTTATAAGTATACCTATTGAATCGATTATTTTTATGGGCAAACTCGATGTTTTAATGATCAATTTCAGTCTTCGTATTTCCATTTAATAGATTTTCTGCTTGAAACAGAAAAATATTTGTTTCTTTTCTAATGCCATACGAAAAATAGTCGACTTCTATGAGACGATTGCCATTTCATCGAACATACAGTCTCACAAAAATGAATATCTATTTTGTGTTGCAATTTCAAGCCTAAACACGGCAAGTATAAAACATATGACATATAGAGTCGTAATTTAGTGAACTTGCCATGTAAACATGGGATATGAAAACCATACTGTGCTTATTTATCTCTTTAGTGTTGAAGCTAATATTCAGTAAAAATGAACAGATAGATTAATACAACGCATTAAACATTGACTGAATGCTCAGTTCGTCGATTTTGTCTCGATATTGGTTCTCCAGTTATGGGAAAATGTTCTCAAAATAGGAATATTCCAGTGTAGTAAATTTTCTCAGCTCTGCCGATTGAAAAACGAGTGTTTAGTCGTATTCATTTGATTATGATTTTTCAATAGATTTAACTTTGCTGGCCATCTGTGTCTGTGCTTCATAATTTTAATCACGTTTTACTGACAAATATTGAAAACTCTAGTGAACAAATCTCTTTTGTAAAATTTCTAACATGGAAGTGGTTTACACTAATTTAGTTCATTATACATGCTCTACTCGTGTCTTCTCGTTCAATCTTTAGTCATAACTCAAATTGCTTGTCATTGATTTTCAATCATAAGCAATTATCGATCGAAGAATTTAACCATCGACTATATGATTTTATTTTTTACTCCCTAGCAAGCCATTCATTTTATAGATGATATGTATCACACGAAAAGTAAATACCATAGGTACTACTTCGACAAGTACATGCAATTTATTATCACAATGATAGCATAAAAGCTTTTGAAACACTATGATTAGGTCATCATCATACATTGTCATTTTAATAGACTTCAAAAGTTAGTAATAGTACAGAGCTTGACTGATGATAATTATCAGAGCTATGATAAATGCTTGATCTTCATCGTCATCGATTTCTGCTCCGTAGGTGTCAGCCACAGTGCTGTATTTCCTCTTTACAATAGCCACTGTGTGTCCTTCTTGCGTCAATGTAAATGAACGACCTAACAAATCCAAGGCTTCCAATTTATATTCCCCATAGACTGAATCGACTGAGAATTTTTCATGCAATGAAAATTTCCTCTTGACTAATGCTAATTGTTGACCTGTATCATCATCACGTGCTGACAATATTTTGTATATTGGATGTAAATGAAGCAATTCTTCCTCAATCTTTATCAGACCACTAAAATTAGAAATAGTGATCATTTGGAACCAACATGAAGCAAATTAGAAAACTATAATACCCATCAAAATCAGCTTCAAACTATCTCGACAATATTCGTACGACTCCAATCAAACTAAACAGTAGGTATTCTATGGCCTATGATTAGAATTATTTGTGGTTCACACACAGATCTATCAGATGGACGAGACCTATTTATAACTGTTGGTGAATACTTTCAGGAAGCGCCGATCGCTTTCCTTCTCAGTTGTATCTCACGCATTGAGATTCCATGTAGAGCAAATGAATTGAAAGATTCTGTCTGAGATGCCATAGAAATATGATCTGCCTTTGTATATATCTCCATAACAATCATCGGTGATTTTGTTTTGCAGAATGGCTACTTCTACATAACTTGCAACCTTCATCGATTATCCACGATGTAAGACAAATTATATATTGTTATGCAAACTATTCATGTGTGCATAAGCATTTGTTTTCGCTTAACTTCTTATTATCTGTCGCATTTTCATCAGATAATGAATCAAACTGTTGTACTGCAGTCGACGTTTTTTGTCCATCTATAAAATAAGCTGTGGAACTGTTATTATTCCGCTGTATACTATTTTCTTTTGACATTCTTTTCCTTTTATTACGTGCGTTGTTACCTCTCACATGAAAAGTATCTGAAAAACTAGATGGATCATTTCCCAACGGAATGCTAAGGTACTGCCAATAAAAATTGATGACTATTTGGTAATCTACGGAGCTCTCATATATAAAAGGTTGGATTCTCTAATTAATTTTTGTAAATATCAGGTACCAATCAGTAGAGAGTGGTGTTTTACTGTCAATACACGTTTCTCAGCTGTTCGAGTGGTATTCGGACGAATAATCGGCGAACTTCATACTTCCGATTACATGCGACCAGTTCCAGCTGATCTCTCTGAGGAGTTCTCATAGAAAATAATCCGTTGTAAGATCTACATGCAACTAACATATGAACTCACTTTCCTGCCGTATCTTCCAAAAGAATTTTGTCAGCAATTGTTAACAGCTTTGATCGAACGACGAAGACATCTTGATCCGATTCGTCTTTAATCTTGTAGTTGTCACGTAGCAAAAGTATCGTCTCGCGAATTCGATAACGACGAGTAGATGTTGTTTCACCCAGAAGATCGATTGTTAAATATGCATGCGACATAATTCGAAATTTTTCTTAGAAATGAACGTAGATATATTATGGTCGAGAAATCTCAAACATAGACTTTTATACTACTATTCGAACTATGTTTCTAGGTAGAAAATATGTCAATATTTGAAATTCCGTAGATAAAATTCATAATGGCACACTTTTTTTGTTCCTGTGTTTGTTTTTTTTACTTGTTCTTATGTGAATAATATTGACAAAGGGGCTTTATTTGCAAAATTACAAATTAACTAAAGAAAGACTATCAAACTATCACAGTCTTCATTTTATCATATTTTTATTCCTGTTAACGTGTTGCTTTTCTTTTGATTTATTTGCGATACGTAATATTCGTAGGGCAATTTTATTTTTTTTTATTAGAAGTAAACCATGAAGAAAATGCCAGCTTGCTATCAATACTTGTCTCATAGTGCCTTTTTTTCTTTGTTGCTTTTTTTGCGTCTTCTTCTTTTCGAAAGCGAACATTGACATCGTAGTTTTACTTGCCTTGGTGCAAGTAGATCATAGAACGACTTACTCGTTATCAGAGACCCTATCCTAATGTTTTTTCAACATTTTTTCCTCTTGTCGTCCATCAATAATATTGACATAGGGTGTGAGTGTGGATATGATGCGAAGACCGACCAGCACACCCACACCCTCTTGCATTTATTGTTTATCCACTGGTATTTTTTTCAATTAGTTGAATCTCTATTTATCTTTTTATACTGCTGTTTTATCTTTTATTGGCCAATGCAACAATGAATATTGTATGGTCCTATACGCATACAAACTCAATAATTTTAAAACACATAGACATGACGATTTTGTACGTATTGCTAAACACGTCGTTACTGAATCTAAAAGAACCGGAAAACAAGTATGCATTGAAGGTATTAAAGGTTATTCGATTTTACTTGATGTATTGAATTATCCATGTTCTATTACATTCGATTATATACATTTGGTTTGCATTGGACATGTATCAGCGCTCACTCGACGTTGGCGAAACCATGAAACGAAGGATAATTTAACTTTAGTCGATAGGAAACTTGAAAGTTTATGTCTGCCGCATAATTGTCATGTCAGATTTAAACATGTAAGTAAATATTTATATTGATGACGAGATTGAGGAGATTTGAGTGTAGATTATAAATTGAAAATTTTTATTATATGACTAGTATTTGTCATTCATCATTTAATCAACTTTTTTATCAAAAAAGAATTGAAATATTTTATTTATCAACTGAATTTTTAGGGCAAACATTATATTTACCTTTGAGATCTGGCCAATAATGTTTCAAAAATTTGACTTAAATATAGGCTTTCAATACCCGACGTTTTACAACGATATATTTTGTTTTAATGAAGATGTACATATTACTTGCCCTTCAAAATAAATATGTTTGCCATGTGAAATAAATGAACATGTATGTATGACATCAACCTTTTGGTAAAAAGATGCTCGCAGGATTAGCCGGGACGGGACGGGAGACAGTCTGTGAACAACTCCCGATGAGCCTCGTCGAGACAGCTTCTCATTGCCCCGCCGATCTCTAGTACTGTACACCTAAGTGAATGAGCCCTAAAACAAAAATTCATTTCACAACTTGGAGGAGGTCTCTTAGATTGAGAGCTTTAAAATAATTAACAAGTATTTACGCTTCATGCAAATAGCTGGATGTCACAAAAATGTACCAAATATGCTTGTGTTCGTAAATTTCTTTTTCAAGTTCTATTTGAAACATGTTGTGCGCCAGCATATATAATATAATGGATAGCTTTATATTGAGTCATAATGTTACATGATTTCCCATCTCCTTTCTCACTTCTTACTCCATATATGGGATAAATATGAGCGTCTGTTGATTGGATTGTAATCCGTGTGAAGTCTTGATTGATCTGGTACTCGCTAACGCCACCATCACTCCTCATACCCATTCCTCCACTTCCAAAGATTCCCGAAACAGTCAAATTTCTCTGATTGTGCCCCAGATCGTTGTAAGCATGCGTATGATATCTAGAAGTAGGTTGTGGGTTGATGAAAACCGAATAGACACCCACATCCACACCCGTTTGTCAGTTTTTTAGGGACTTTTCGAGAATAAATATGATAAAACAAGCCTTAATGAAGGAAGCAGGAGGTGAATTATTTTTGTCGAAAGAAAAGTTTTCTTAGTTTCGATTTTAAAATGCATTTCGAAAGATATCTACCAAATTGTTTCAGTTAAACCGTGACTTCTGTCATGAAAATGGGTTCACTCGAAAACAAAGAATTGCACCTGTTGATAAAACATTTATGATCGAAGTTTTCCTGTTGAAGATTTCGATTTTTTATTAGTCAATATCAAGTCAGAAATATTTAATACAATTATTAAAAACAGACATACAAAAATTCAAAAACTAATATAAGATAAACTGCAAAGTTATTTTTTATTTGCATGCTCTTCATTTTCTTCGTCACTTTCTTCGTCAAATTTGCGTTTTCGTATTTTCAAAAAACTTGTCCATTGATTTGCTAAATCATCTAATAATGTTTCAAAATCAACTGTAGTTGATTTATCTTCAGTTTTTTTCTTTTGTCGAACTAATATCCATTCACCGTTTTCTACTTCTGGTAGGTCTGTTCGATTATGAATGGATACATTTCCGATTCCAGCTTTTGCAATCTCAAGTGTTTTTTTCACTTTTTTAGTTGTTTTCGGTGTTACCATATTAATACAAACATTATGCTCTTTTTCTAATGATGCAATATAACCGTTTCGACTAATAAATCGTCCACGTTGCAATTTTTTTGCAACTTCAAGTAGGGCATCGGAGTCTGGTTTCTTGTCAAATTTATATGGTAAATAAATAAATTTTCCATTGTTAAGTGGTTTTGTTTGTTTAGTTGTATCTGTGCGTAATGGTGGATCAATATCCATCATGGAATCTTGGGAGCAAAGTTTAATTTCATTATCAACTATTGATGTTGATAATACATTTGTATCTAAAATACGATTTTCTTTTATAAAATTTTCTAATTGATTTAATGATAAAATAAGTTTTGGATCGGGATCTTTATCCCGATCTATTTGATCAATAATTTTTTTTAAATTGATCAATTTAACCGTGTCATCTGTAACAACTGTTGTTAATATTTGATTATCAACATTGTTACATGTACAACACTGACGAGACATATTTCGTAATTTACAAACCGGAATACGATTTTCTTTTCGAAGTTCATTAACAACAGCACGAAATAGATGGGAATAACGTGAATTGTGTGTTAAGCAAGCCATTATCTTTAGCTCGAAGAATGAATAAAAAAAACATGAGTGTTGTTCTTTATTGGTGGAAAGATTGCGAAATAACACTGTATTGCACCACCATGTGGGATATAAACAGAAGAAATAAATATGAGTCATGATGTTTTTTGTCTCAACTTGGAAAAAACTAACTTTGTCATCAGATAATAATTAGCAACTATTTAACAAACATTATTCCGAAAAGGATGATAGATTGTTTTTTTTCTTTTAATGATTCATGTGTGTAGTAATGATTATTCATATTACAAAATTTGGTAATTGCGCATGTCAATGACCATTTAGAAATCAATAGGTAAAATATTGAATTTTTTACAATAATATAAAATTTTTAAAAGAATTCAGAATATTTTTTTTCTACTTATAAATGAAATATACTACTCATAGAGCTATTAGAAATGATCTACCAAGATAATTTTCATACTACATGTCCATTGACGAATATTGAATGTTTCACTTATGACTATATTTATTTGAATTTTCAATGTAACAGATTTTCCTTAGATGTGCATATATTCTCTACAAAATTAATTTTCACCTTTCAACCTCCAATTTTATTTTTTTGTCAAACTCAGGTACATTTACGAACAAAACCAAGAGTACAAGTTGTAAGGCAAAGTTTTGCTGTTTCGCTCCTTCCCCATTATAGACCTTAACTATTGAGAACAACAACCTTAGATTCCTCATTCAAAGATCCTTACCAACAGAAAAAGAAGCTGAGCGACATCAATGACAAGATTAAACTATTATAGGAATATCGGAATGCCTTTCTCCAAACTTGAATTCATGTATGTGTAGCATCTAAATAATGTAGTTTTTTTTGTATAGATAAAAATCAACAATGATTGGTAGCAATTTATTGATTTCCCAGTCATCATATGGTCAATATAAAAAGCATGAACTGATCATGTTCAGCAGTTTTTGGAGTTTCTATAAATCCGGTAATGTATATTATTATCAAACGGAAGAAACAAGGCTGAAGGCAGGTACTGACGTGAGCATCAAGAAAGTCACTTTATAACTATCCTTCTCTTTTGATACATTTTAAACGTATAATATGCTATCAACAGATAAGATCACATAACATAAATCCGGTGGTTTAAATAAATTCTATAACTCTCCAAAAATTAAAAAAATTCAGATAATCCTTCTTTAGTGGATATTTTTGCGAAGATTTCGATTGCTTTTCACATAAAAAAGTATCTTGAAGTCAAGGTATTTGAATGCGTTTTGAATAACTTATGCGATATACAAAATAGCGACATCTATTCTTAGGAGTTCGGTCAGGTACCTTCAGAATAGTACGAAGGGATAGATTACTGAGAGACTGGGTGTGGTTAGGTACAACCATAAAGATTATCAAAACTTCGATCCGCACACCCACACCTCATCCTTTTTTTTGATCGGTATATTAAAACATGTCGTAAATTTTAATTTTTATTATTTCCAACAAATAACAAGAAAAAAGTACCGAAAAAAATACATGAAGAGGTTTATCTAAAGCTGTTCATTGTCACTATCTTCATCGGTTGTTGCTTCATCGACTTCTTGACTTTCGACCATTAATATGATTTTTTTATTTGTAGTTGTTGATGGTGTTGAATCAGCTGAAATTAAACCATTCTTTCTTTTTGTGCACTGTTCAACTGCCGAAGGATAAACTCCTTTTAATACTCGTATATTTCGTTTAATAAGTAATAAATGATCAACTTTATCAGCATCCAAACGTGTTCGTTTATTAGTGACAGTACTGCCACTATGAGAAAATAAACGTTTCACGGAAGTATTCGTAGCTGGTATTGCTAAAACCCGCTTAGTTATCCGTGCTACATTAGGATATAACGACGTGTTTAAATTCCAATAAGTTAAAACATTCATATTATTATCAATTCTTGTTTCAGCTGCTAAATATAAATCAAGTTTCGTTTTTTCAATCAGTTGTTTTTGTAAATAATTTTTATCATCAGGTACATCAAATATTTCATCTAATGAATTTGTTGAATACATACTTTTTTTCACTTTATTTTTTTCTTTATTATTTAACGTTGTTGTTTGAAGTGGCTTCACAACAACCGAATCCAATAATTTATTAACTTCCGATTTAAGTAATTCAACAACATGTTCGTTTTTATTTGATATAAGTTAAAAACTTTTTAAGGTAGGATGCAATAGTATCGCAACGTAATGTATATCTTGAATAATCCAATAATTTTTTAAATGTTCCATCAGGTAACGCTTTAGTTGAAATCAAATTTTGATGATCATCATCATTTTTTTATGGAACTCACATATATTTTCGAAGAAAATAGTGAGTGTAAGTTTAAGTCCGAGTTTTAGGGCTTTCCGCACACCCCCCCCCCCCACCTCACCAACTCGGACATCGCCACACCACAAAAAACTTTTTACAACAATGAGCTAAAAAAAACACTTTA